GTTGGCTGTCAGAATCTTTGTGCTTTGTTTAAATTTTGCTTGTCTGCTGTTTAATCAGCACAACTACTGGCAGGATTTCTGGGCAAAAAAATTCAATAGAAAGTGGCAGTATTTAATTGGAGTTGCTTGCTAGTGAGTTACGTTTTAATACATGACTGTTATAATAGCCATGGGAAAAGAAGGAATGCACATTCCTGTTTTGTTGTCCAATTTTATGGTTAAGAACTCTGAGACACAAATACTATTTTTGGCATTCCACTACACTTGCGGATAACACAGTTTAAACTCAGGAGTAAGAAGATTTTGGCTTGGTAAATCTACTTTAAAATATAAGCCTTGTGACGCATGTTCGCTTGCAAAATAAGCAGTTACGATACTTCACGGTAAGCCCTGTGAAGTTTTTTTTACATAAAAATCCCACTCTTCATTTAGTAACATTGTGAGAGTCAATTGTTTATTTAATAACATACTAGGAACCAGAAGAGATTGCATCAAAGTGTAATTTGTTCAGCGTTTGTCTCGCAGTAGGTGTGTTGAGAAAAACGCACAAGTTGAAAATGCACATGTTGTTTCGGTCAGTTCATTGAGATGATGTAAGTGAGAGTTACACAACTGAAGCTTAGATAATTTCTATACTGTGATCTGTATGCAGGCCACGTAATTGAGGTGTGAAAAACTAGTGGTGATGTTTGGGACGTCAGCGCTTTGGGACATCCTCCTGACATGAAAGGCGCTCTATAAGTGTAATTTTATTGTTGTTGTTTTGCACTATTTAATTTTTTTTATTTATCATTGTATGGGGAAAGTCAGGCTCCGCCACTGTTATGTGCTCTTGAGATGCTACCCTGCGTGGCGGACGCTATATAAATGCAAGTTGTTGTTGCATGTGACTTTTTTTAAAAAGGACCCTAAAAGCATCTCATGCAGCAGCTGTCTATTGGCAGTGAAACCAAAGATAAGAACAAGTGCTGTATTTCCACAGGAGGGTCTTTGTTTTTGGAGTCTACAAAGACTGAAATTCCAAAGGCATTACATGAGCAGCTTTAATGAATTAGCGTCTGTGTTTTGAACAACAGATATGACATGCAGCTTTCTATCGATCAGTGCTTTCAATCTGTTTTGTGTCTTTACACAAATTTGAAGAGTAAAGGAGAGCACCATTGGACTAAAAATAGTTTCTTTTGGGTCTTAAAGATAAGACTCCTTGTCCTATAGTTATAACAATTAGAGCAGGACCATTAAAGGAAGGGGAATCATAAAAGTTTATTATCTGAAATGATTTCATCAACAGTCACATTGGTGAAGATATCCAGGCGTTTCCTACTCTCTTGCACTTCCTCCCTATGTCAGAGAAGCAGTTTACTGGCTACACATAACATTTTAAAAACTTGAACCGGTGGTTGGTAATGTTTTGACAACAGGTAAATGGAGCCCTGCACTGAAAATAAGGGTAATAAATATTTTTGAGCATTTAGCAGTTCTATGGTTGCAGCTATTTGTCTATTAACAGTACTGTTCATTTCAGACTAGGAAACAGTTTAATATTACAGATGTGAATTATCTTCCTGCCGCATCACAGGACAGCATCTGGCACTCCTGTCTCTCAGTAAAAGATGAAACTCCCTTTGCTCTGTTTCTAACCTCAGAAAACCACCCACTGCTACACAAGTGTGAATTTTCCATTTCTCACTCTGACTCGGACTATGGCTCCACTGTGTCATTCTATATCCTGTATTTTTTTCCCTCTCCATCCCTAGTCCTGGAGCACTAAGATTGTAACCTCAGCTGCTGTACTATCTGAGATCAAAACTCAGAACAGATCATTTGAACCTAAATTATATGGCCCAGTTTCATTCTTAGTGAATGCCTTTTTGACTTGAAGGACGCTATACAAATGTAATTTTATTTAGTTGTTGATAGTAGGGAAATAGATAAAACATTTGATTGTCTGTCATTTTTCCAATAGATCTGTTAATGCATTAATTTAGTTGCAACATGTTACACTTCAAATATTATAGGTCTCGTAAGAATTGCTTATGATCCAGTTATTGCATTCTTAAACTACCCACTAGCAGTTGTTTTGTTACTAATCCAGCCAGCTTCTAGGTCAGGTGCTGTTGTGAGTATGTACGTTTCCCTGTGCCATGCGCTGCCCAGAGAACATTTGTACAGAAGTTTAGAGGGAAGTATCAAACAGAGGCCCATAGAGCCAGTCACCATTCCCTCCTATCAGTGTCTGGCTACTGAGGAGCAACAACACAGCCTAGAACAGGTTGCTAGGGAATGTGAAATTCATGAGAAGAAAATAACATAAAGGTTCTTATATTGCAGAGGTCTGAGGATTTGCCAGCTGCAGTGTTACTGCAAATGCACACTTCAGGAATATAAATAGCTTGTTCTATTCCTTAAAAGTTAGCTTCTTTTAAAGATCTTGTATTATACGAAGAATGAATTTGCCCACAAATATAGGCACAGCACTTGACAGCAACAACCTGTCAAATGCCTTGAGATGTTTCAACTGCTATTATGTGTAAAATACAAGATACTGGGCAATGAATTGTTGACCATTCCACTAAGAATTTCAGTATCAGAATCTTCAGTGGAATAACAGTCCTGTAACTAATCATGTTCTGTATAAAATGAAGTTGCTGCTCGTAATTTGGCTTTTGATCCACTTTTGAGTTGTAAGTGCTGTGTATGTTATCCCTGAGGCAATTTATCCAGGGCGTGTATGTTTGTGAGGCATTTTTGTCCCATTTTCTTTTTTTTTTAAATGACTTGGTGTAGTTGGAACTAGGGCAGTTAAATAGACACAAGCTCATTTCCCACTGAGACTGTTGTACAGAAAGGTTTAGCAAAAAGATCTCATCCAAGTTGTCAGAAGGAATTGCACCAAATTAATTTGATCAAGCTCAAAATGTTTTCTTTATTTGAAAGAGTTGTTTGATAAATTTTATGATTCATTCGTTCCCAAAATTTTAGTCGCATGGGGTTTATATTGAATGGTTGCTGTTCCATTAGGAATTTACAGAAGCAATCTCATTTTTAGGCTTGAAATTTATGGCTACTTTGGGAATGAACATTTGGAATCTTCATTCACTAGCCAGATTTTTATTAAGTTATAAAGAGTGATGTTTTAAGTCTCTAACATTATTCTACATAAAGGGCACTATATAAATGCAGGTTGATGTTCCAACGAGGCATTCAGATAAAATATGAAAATGCAGGTTGTTGTAACTTGAGCGGTTGGACTTGTGTCGAAAATGTTTTCAAAATGGATCCATTCACAGATGTGTTTAGACCTCGTAACAGACTGCTTTGCCTGACAATAATTCATGTCTAGTTGTGTATCTAGGTGTTAAAACCTCTCTGCTTTTCCTGGTGTTTGAATTTCAACTTGAATGTTAGTCACACTCTGCTCTGAGTTAGTTTGGGTGATTCCCTTTAATTTCCAAATGGAATGTTCATCTTATCCTACTGGTTGTATTGCATCTGAACTTTCAAAGCACGAGACCTGTAGCACAATAACAGTATGTTAGTTTGCTGATTCAGTGTAGAAGAGGTCAGAAGCCGTATTTCACATATGCAGTGCTAGTAGTCTATTCCACATGTCCATCAAGTAAACACCCAAGAATGCACTAGCTTTGTTGTATTTATTCTGCAAAATGTGTGTGTGTGTGTATATATATATATATATTCAAAAGTACTTGTATAAATCATGTATTACTAAAAGTTCCAACTAAAATGTTGCTTTATGCATTACAGATCATTCCGATCGGTAAACATCAATTACAAATCCCATTTTAAAAAAGACTTTCCAGCTATTCATAGCTGCTGCGGGTAAACAGTCTCAGTCAGCATTTCCCAGCAAAGTTGCACAAGGTGTGGCCATTGCTGGATAAACAACCTCACATAGTTACAGCCATTTGTTATTGGGCAGTCTGGTCTTCAAGCAATACTGCACCTTGGTCAGCTCATGTTGTTTTTCTACTCATTTTGGCACTCTGCCCAGTAGTAAATCTGGAGCTTTTAATATATTTCAACCAGAGACACCAAGAATTAGCCCTAGTAAACTCTTGGTGTCGCGGTGCTCCCTACTATACCATTCATTGGAGAATGCAGCCAAACCAGGCACTAAATTGGGAGGAGGGGTATCAAGATTCAAATATAACTATAAAGGGTTTCAAAAAAGGAGCAGAGCAGTCCTTGAAGATTGAAAGAATTCCCAGCAATTCCATGATGAGACAAGTTTTAAAATGAATCTTTTGGGACATTAGATGGATAGCAAGAAGGAATGCTGGTCTATACTATACAACACTGCTGAACATGGCTGCTGCAACAGCAGTTTGAGGCATTGGGGACTTTGACTCAAGACCCTATTATACTTTATACATTCACCTACAAAATATAGTCACTACACTTTACAGTAAAACCTGTGAAGAGTTTTGAGATGTTCTCTGATGTGAAAGACCCTAGCTAGATTGAATGCAAGGATGATTACTGTTAATGTTAACCAACCTCCCCCCCCCCCCCCCACACACACACACGGACACACTTGGTTTAGAAAAGCACTGTTTGAACATTCTAATGAGGTTCAAATAAACTTAATCAGACATGTTTTGTCAATCAAGGCTGCACAAATATTTCATGGCCGATTACTATGTAAGTAATCAGGTATGTGCAAATAAGTGAAATATTATTCTGTTTCAATAGCTGTTCTACCAGTAATAGAATAAACCTCTAAGAACAGCCATGCTTTATAGGCCGTCTCCAAACTCAAGCCTACAACTAACTCCAAGCAGTGCTTGAAACTAACCCAAAGTTTTCTAGTTTTCTATCTCTGGTATATAATTGGTGGTCATTAGGCATTTCTGAAAAGTATTGTTCAGTATCTCGTAGCTGTCTGAGAAATGAAGATCAAATCAGTCATTCAATGCGTATCGATTCAATGACCTGAAACACACAGCAACAAGCCTTAACAAATATACTTTGCTTTTCAGGTGTACCTTTAGGTTCCCTAGCACAAACATCAAGATCTCGTTTACCTCATTGTGCAATGAAAAGAAAGAACAGCAAGAGGCTCCAGAATCCCCAGTCAGACCAGTGCAGCCACAAATCTCCCCGTTGAAGATAAACATTCCAGACAACATAGCTGAACACATCAGCCCCCTTCCTTCTCCTACTGGAACACTCAGGTAATCTTGCAGATAACACCACACCGCTGCCTGACTCTCCAATTCAAAATGTTCTGTTTGTGTGTGAATTTCTTACAATGTAAACTCAATGTTGAACTTTTGGACAAGTGAAATTTTCAGATATCCCCTTTATTTACCACATTCCTACACCTGCACAGGCTGACTAGTGCTCTTTCTCTTTGTTTCTTGACTTGCACTCTCTCTATCTCTTTCTCTCTCTGTGTATCAATGTAAAGTATTTGTACTTGTTGAATTCATTGAGACAATCTGGTTTAATGTGTAGTGCTGCAAACTCCTGCCCCTCCAGTCCAAGGGGTGCTGGTTCCTCTGGGTACCGGATAAGTCGTGGGCTTCATTCTGATTTGCAAATCGTGCCTGACCACACTCACAATCATTCGGAGAATGACAAGGAAACATCAGATGGAGACAGCCCAAAGGTCAGTGTAAAAAACGGGTCATTGAACTTCATTCTTGCTCCTCTACACATCGTAGGATCCACACCACTGGACGTTTGGCAGTTTTAAAGGGGGGCATGTCCCCTTTAAGAAATTCTTGTATGTTATCCCATATGACATCCCCATGTTGTGCTTAAAAGGTGAGTTAACTCTTTATGTGGAATGTTAATTTTGTTGTCTGCTTCAGTTGGTTACCTCAGGATCAGAAGGTTATGGCGTCAAGCCCCACATTGGGTATTGAGCTCATAGTCTGCTAACAGTCAACTGCAGTACTGGGGGAGCGCTGCATTGTCTGACTTGCTGTCTTTCAGATGAGACATTAAACGGTGGTCCTGCTACTTGTTCTTCAGGTGAATGTTGAAGATCCCATGGCACTGTTGAAATGCTGGTGTTTTGGCCAACGATCTTCCAGATTAATTAGTCTTGCACTTTATGGATTCATTAATTAGGATCTTACCCTTTGTTTTGATCTGGAGAGCAGATAAGAGACCTACTTACAAGTTTCTGGAAGGGCATTGATGCAGACGGGCACTGGAAGATCTCACAGCATTATTTACCCTTTCCTCCCGTGAAGAATCCTCTTGCTTTGTCATCAGAACGCCATGATAAATGGCTGACCATTGCCATCTTGAGAGTTGATTTTGCCAACATCAGCCTATGGTAGTCCCCCACTGAGATTAACTTGCCTTCCTTCCCCAGTTAGCACGGCTCAGACACTCGCTGGGTAAACTCACTGAGCTGCTGGGAGCACTAGAAATGTACAAAAGGACTTAGAAAAGTGAATTGTATGATCAAGCTGATGTGTCTTGGTATTTAGTCTAAATTAACTTTTTTTTCAAATGCAGGATGATGCAAAGCCGCCATACTCCTATGCACAGTTAATAGTTCAAGCTATCACAACGGCCCCAGATAGACAGCTTACACTAAGTGGAATTTACGCACACATCACAAAGAATTATCCCTATTACAGAACAGCAGACAAGGGCTGGCAGGTAAGCAAAGCTGATCAAGCAAAGGTGCACAAGGGTTTCCTAGGCTCACAAGTTTGTGTTGTGTTTTTGCATGAGAAGAAAGAGAACCAAATGCGTTTCTGTTTGGAATATTTATCTTCCTTTTTCTTTTGCAGAATTCAATTCGACATAATCTTTCCCTAAACCGCTACTTCATTAAAGTACCGCGTTCCCAGGAGGAGCCTGGGAAGGGGTCATTTTGGAGGATAGACCCTGCCTCTGAGAGCAAGCTAACAGAACAGGCGTTTAGGAAACGGAGGCCAAGGGGAGTGCCCTGCTTCAGAACTCCCTTAGGACCTCTTTCTTCCAGGTGAATGAACTACATGCAATAATAACAAAATAATCTGGAATCTGCTGAACTATTTTGATTGGTTAAAATAATGAAAAAATGTTTCAACCTTAATTATAAAGGAATCTTATTTGAAATCTCAGACTAGGTGTTACTTTATAGGAACAGGAATAGGCCATTCAGCCCCTCAAAACTGTTCTGTCATTCTATTAGATTATGGGTAATGTGTACCTTAACTCTTATCTACTTGACCTTACTCCATACACCTTGATACCCTGACCTAACAAACATCTACCACCTCAATCTTGAAAATTTCAGTTGATTCAGCACCCACAGAGAGTTCCAGATTTCCACTACCCTTTGTGTGAAAATATAAGAATATTTCAGTCAGTATTGTGCAGTTCATGGGTCTTTCTTATTGTAGAGGACAAGGTTACTTTTTATGTTTGTTTAATGCGCTTGTGTACCTCAAGCTTAGCTATTTCTGATTACTGCAGTATAGAAAATTATGAAGTGCCATCGACTGGATTGTTAAAGGAATTGTAGGAAAATGTGACCCAATAGAACCACACTCACTTAGAATTGAGGTGCAAGTTAATCATTCTCAGTTGGAATAACTCTTGTGAATGACCGTATCTGTGGGAAAAAAACATTCCTGACATGTCAAAATATTCATCGTCAAAATATTTGAGATTTGCTGCTGTGGTAGTGACTGGACTGCTTAATGGGACAGGTTTCTATCCTATCTGATTTGTATTGGTATCAAGCCCTGGATGTTCAGTTAAATTGTACAATTACTGGTATTAGGATTCTGCCACAGTCAGACAACTCCAGGTCAGTTCCAGTGTCTCATTTAAATGGAGCTGCTCTGGGGGTGACAGCAGTCTCTAACATATAGCAACCGCCAATGGCCTCTAACATACTACAACATACAGCAGCCTTCAATGGCCTCTAACATACAACGGCCTCTAACATACTGTAGCATACAACAGCCTCTATCATACAGCAGAGCAACTCGGGATCGTCCCAACAAATTATTCCAAACCATTTGTATCCATTGGACAGAACTGGTCGGAGCCAGTTCCTCCCTGTAATATACATCACAGGAAGAAATTGGTTCCAGCTACTAATGTTGTTAGGATTCCTTGCAATAGGAAAATACTGGCTTATGTTACTATTATTTTCCTTTGAACAGTGAAGTACTTTGAACAAATGTAAAGGAGATCTTATTCCACTTTAAGTAAATGCTGTTGGAAAAAAATGAACAAACCTATCACTAACTGTATAGTCTGTGAGCACATGTGTATCAGCCTGAGGACAACAACAATAACAAAATTACATTTGTAGAGCGCCTTTCACATCGGGAGGATGTCCCAAAGCGCTGAACAGTCAGATGTCGGGGGCCCGAGCATGGGGGAGGGGTGGTGTAGGGGTGAAGGAAGGCAGAGAGGTAGGAGGCACGGTCGAAGAGAAGGGTCTTGAGACCGGCCTTGAAGGAGGCAAGGGAGGAAGCGAGGCGAAGGGACCGTGGGATGGAGTTCCAGAGTGGGGGCAGAGAGGCTGAAAGCCCAGCCACCGATGGTAGGGCAGGTCGGTTGGGAGACATGGAGCAGGCCGGAGCCTGATGAACAGAGGAAGCAGGCAGGTTGGTAGGGAGTCAGAGAGGTCGGAGGGGGCAAGGCCATGGATGGCCTTAAAGGTGAGGACGAGGATCTTGAACTCGAGCCACTGGGGGATGGGGAGCCATTGGAGTCTGGTGAGGGTGGGAGTGATGTGGTCGCGGAGCCTGGTGCGCAAGAGTATACGAGTTGCAGAGTTTTGGATGATCTGCGGCTTGTGAAGGGAAGAGTTCAGAAAGACATGTGTGTTACTCTGTCAGCGCATTTGGTTAAATGTTTTGGCCTTACCAAAATTGATTAGTGATAGTTCTTATATGTTACATGAAACTACCAGCTTGGTGTAGTGAAGAGCTCTCTGGGCCTGCATTTAAGTCCTGTTTATATTGCTTTTTGCTTTGATCTCCTACCACAGAAGTGCACCAACTTCTCCAAACCACCCTGGCGTGTTCTCATCGCACTCCAGTGGGCTGCAGACACCAGAGATGCTGTCCAGGGAAGGTTCTCCAGTTCCGACAGAACACGAGTCCAGCACTGCGCAGGCCAAGTTAGCAGTGATACAAGAGGCAAGATACGCTCAGAGTGCACCCGGTGAGTAGTACACAAGCCCAAACTGTACTGAAGAGGTATCTGGATTTATCATTGAAACACTGGAAATGTTCATGTTGTCATTCCACAAATGCCTTCCTTTTATTGGGACTGAAGCATTTGATATAACACCTTTCAGGTCACTGAGACATCTCAAAGCACTTCAAGTAAATTTTTAATCTTTTGAATTCATGTGTTCATGTTGGAATAGGTCAGTCTGAGTAGAGAGACTGGACAAGGGAACTCTTTAATCCCACTCTTGTCAGGATCATTGAAACAAACTCAGGTTATATATGATGGTCAATGCTATGTAACTGTGATAGTGGCCTGTTTTCGAATAAACACTCTGGAGAATGCAGAGCAGTACAGCATTTCTGGCAATAAAAATTGATCAATTCTGAGGAAGCCCTAGGAAATAAGCACTTTACAAACACGCTCTCCTTTCTCGGACAACAATAGGCTTAAAGTATCTTGGAATAATAGTTAATCCCCAAATACATTTTGAAGAAATTATGAAAAATGTAAAAAAAATTGGCCTGAAAAAATCGCATTCACAGAAAATCTCTAAATTGAATTGTCTCTTTTTGGTTATGACAGGAGGGTACATTTAGCAGTCTATTCACTTGAGAGAATGACTTGAAGGAACCAGGATATGTTATACATGGCTCTTCTCTCCCACTCCCCACACGGCTTTTGCAATGGCTAAATCAGAAGTCACATGTTATCATAATTGATGAATTTACACACAGCACATAATACGCCTGCATTCATACAAGGACTGGATTGTGTTTCAGTATGAATAACATTGTGAAAAGGCGATTTTACTTTGTCAAACACTTTGGAATTTTTATCATGAGGAAGACGGGATAACCATCTCACAATGGGTTGCAATTGAGATGTTTGTAAAGAAATTTTATTGTCTTCTCTTTTATTCACAGGGTCACCTCTGTCCACTCAACCAGTTTTAATAACTGTCCAACGGCAGCTACCGCAGACTATAAAACCAGTCACGTACACTGTGGCCACTCCTGTTACATCAACATCCCAGCAGCCTATGGTGCAAACTGTTCATGTTGTTCATCAGATACCAGCGATGTCCGTCAGTACTGTGACTGGGCTAGCAGCAAACAGCTACACTGTTGGTGGCCAAACAATCTTGACTCAGGCTACAATGGTCAGTCAACCTAAACGGGAACACCTAGAAAATGGAGAGCATAAAGAACTAAAAGGTATTTGCAATTTCGACTTGATATATTTTTGAACGGTGTAGCCTAATAGGATGGGAAGCGTAAAGTGGACTAAAAGTATGATGCACAGGACTGTCATTCTGCAGTCAGTTTTTTCAGCCACTAACAAACTGAGCCTATGCTTAACAATCAGTTATTAGCAAAAAGGGTTAACCAAGCAAGGATACAGTGACTCAAGAGTGTAAGTCGCGAAATTAATTTTATTAAGTTTGCAAAGTTGTTCAAAAATTGCATTTAGGATTTATTTTGTAGCTTCGTAAACCTGTACCTGAGATAACATACCTCACTGGTTTGAATGTAACTTTAGTATTTGGATCTCTCATAACAATACTATTTGTCGTGCTGAAGTACATGGTGAGTAGATGAGTGCATTATGGATTGTATATGTGGTTCTCACAAAAGCCGTAATCTGTACATGATAGTGTATATTACTGGCTTTATATTTGATAAACATGAACAATAAGCACAGTTAACAACATTGTATAAAGAGAAATAAGGTGGAAATGACTGAAAATATTATGAATAGAATGTATCCAATTTAATTAAGAATTTGGATCAAGGAACTGGGCACTGATTTTTTTTTAAAAAAGGACATCTTTCAAAATGGCAGATTGTAAAAATAAATTGAAATTGATGGGGAGGCAGGCAGTGAATGCTGATGGGTGCTGGTGAGGTTTCTTTAATGGCCATCCCCATCCCCAAACACCAGTGAGGACTTGCACCTGTACACTGCTGTGACTGCCCTGGGAAAAGAAACCAGAGTTAAACTTGTGCTCTAAATGCACAAGTAGAATATCTTGCTTCCGTTAACAAGTTTGGAGCAAAAACCTTTGGATCTTATATATGTATATATGTAAGCAATTAGTTAAATGCGGATAGGAAGTTTTCTTATACTGTTAACCTGTCTGGGTGTGATTTGATGTGTGAAACATTTGAATTTTTTTTTGCAGTGAAAGTGGAATCTCTTCCTACAATTACACCAGCATCATTAGGTACTGCTAATCGTTTCATTCAGACTTCGCAGAGTGCCCCCATACAGACAGTTACTATACTGCAACAGGCTCCTCTGGGCCAACACCAGATTCCCCTTAAAGCAATCACACAGAACGGGACGCACGTGGTGCCCATTTCAGTGGCACATGGACATGTTGTCAACACTGGTAATCACAGCATGTGCTATCGTATATGTTGTCTATGTAACTTAACTTGTTTAAGAACAACAGCAAAACACAATAGTAAATTAAAGAGCATTTGTTTTGGTAAAATTATTCTTTCTCCAAGTTCCATATCCACTAATTGGAGGAGAGGGAAGAAAGATTAGGTTATCGCAGTCATTAAAGGCAAACTTCAGAGATGTTAAACTTGGGATCCTGCTTCAAACATTGGAAGTTCCTTTATGTCTGTCCCACCTCAACTACTAACCGCTTTCAATGGACGAGTGGCCACCTTACTCTCTTTCCCCCTTCCCCCAAAAATGTTCCTGTAAAGTGCTCGGAGACGTTACGCTATGTGAAGGGCTCTATATAAATGCAAGTAGAAGATAGAAGTCAGATAACAGCATGAAATGCTTCGTACTTAAAGCTTAAGCTGTCAGGGCAAAGCCAACAACAACAAATGACATTTGTACAGCGGCTTTCACGTCAGGAGGATATCCCAAGGCGCAGGACCCGAGCAGGGGCTTGGGATTAGGAGGAGTTGGGGAAGGTGGGTGACCGAAGGCACGGTCTTGAAACGTGCTTTGAAGAAGGCAAGGGATCACTTTGTTTCATGTGTCAAACCATTTTGAGTTCCCAGGAATCAGCTGATGTAAACAGTTTGTGTTTATCTTCTGCAGCTGCTGCCAGCCCACTACACATGTTGGCAACACATGCGTCCGCCTCGGCATCCCTGCCCACAAAGCGTCAGAATGGAGACCAGGCACAGCAACTGGAGATTAAACGCAGCAAATTGGAAGCTGGAGAAAGTCTGCTGTTTGTCAAGGTGGAAGGTTCAGCTGTGGGAGTGAGTGGGCGTGGCCTAAACTAAAGTCTGGTGGGTGGGGGAAACTACTTTTTATCAAATGCAAAAGGTGCCAAATGGACAAGTCTAACTTAATGTCTAGAACTTCAGAATGTGTTGAGTCGTTCTGGATTTCGGGGCCCTGTGTGATCGACTGTAAAACTGCAGCACTAAGAAAACAGGAAGCCTTAAATAACAGGAATAAATTAAAAGTGAAACCGAACAAACTTTAAATAATCAAAAAAAAGCATGATGCCCCTCCAAGAGGCTGTTCCTCCGACTCATCTACCTCAGTGCTCGCTGGGAAAGGGAGAGACGAGGAGGGTGACAGCAAGCCACAAACACATGACGTTCTCCATCAGATATTGACACGTAACAGCAGCATGTCAAGTCCTCACTGTACATCAGTTGCAAAAGATTGTATATTATATAAAGGGAACAACAGCGTGGACCCACCCTACATCTGGCAGCTAGCTTTTATTGACTAATTGCAGTTGTTAGTAAGTATGCAGTATTTTGTTCATATGTGGATTAGGATATTTTTGGGTGTATTTCATTTCTGTAGATGAAAATGGGGTCACTATCATTTCAGAACGCTCTGTTTATACTTCCAAAGCTTTGGAATCACAACCGTTTTCGTACGTAAAAGTTAATTTTATGTTACGTGAAAATGAATGTAGTTATGTTTTTTTTAAAAATAACCGGATCTGTGCAGATTCAGATAAAGCTACTTTACACCTAAAGATTTTCATATTTTAACAGATTCCTGGTGAAATTTAATCAATTTTTATTAACATTTAGTGATCAAGATACTTCGGGTTTGCATGTGTTAGACAAAGAAAAATGTAACTGAGCCATTACCTGACCTTAAATGAACAGCTATTAAGTTGACCTGCGCTGCTCTTAACTGCTGCTTATTTGCTTCCTTTGCTTATTTGTTGTCACTTTGTATTGAAGTTGGCTGTCCCTTGGCTTGGTTTTTCAGGCTATAACTTTGAAAGAAAAAACAAGTAATAATAACCTTTAGCTGCGAACTGTTTATTTAAAATGAGGAAGAAAACAAATGACCTTGCATATCTGTTCTGGGCTATTGGGGATCCAGGAACTGTCACTAAAACTAAACTGCAGAATAAAACCTTGTTTCAATATGATGTCCATGTAATCAGGGTTACACATCCTCCAGTAGTAATCTGCACAAGAGACAATCTCCAGTGTTACAGCTGAAATCAAATGTGGAAGCAATTGTTTCTAAAATCAGTAAAGCAAAATGGCCATTTTATATTACTGTCTTATTCAGTGGGACGCATGTCGTACTCACATTTCTGACCTATTCATCATAAGAAGCTAATGGGCTGCAAAATACTTACTCGGGGTAGCAGCCGGATGGAGAAAGAATGTTCTCATAAGAACATTCTCATGCACAGTCGAGTTGGACCACCCCAAAGCTTAGCCCAAGAGGGAACGAGTAAGTCTACTCCAGCCCCCCTGATTACAGAGAGCTCTGAGCGAGTTCCTGGGAAATTGCTTTCTACTGACCTCCAAGAGAAAGTAGGGGCTGCAGAGTGGAGGAGCTTGTACCCAAGTCCTGAATAGCAGATTGGGAACAGATTAGTGAAGAGGGAACTGAGCTGCAGTGGAGGAGGGGCAGGAGAACTATAATTTGTCAGAACCAATGAAATGATCGACACCAACACTCTGGATTTGTGACCTGTTCGTACTGAAGTTCTAATACGACACTGAGGTTTTACTAATCATGTTCAAAACGTGCCTTTTAAGAGTGATAACCAAGCTGTCACTGCCACCACCCCTCTCTTGTGTCTTCCTCTCATATTCTTCTCTGCGCCCCACCCCCCAGCAGTGCAATCTGAATCTCCCTTTCCCCCACCCACCAAGTGGTTTCCATTTCCCAGTGTGTCTGCGTATGCCTGAACCACTTCTTGGTTGACCCAAGATGCGAATACTGTATGGAATATAATAGTTAGGTTTGACTCGAGTCCAATTGGACCCAATAAATCAGAAATCTATGTCTGTGCAGTGACCTCTCCAGGCTTACCTTCCCACTTGGATTTTCTCATCTGTGAAACACACTGAGCTGGTCATCTTACATGAAAGGTGCAATATAAGTGCAAGTTATTATAGATGAGGTTGAGACTGGGATAAATCTGTGGTCAGTGATTGGTTTGGGAGCTTTGCTGCTAAATGAGCCTAATTATTTAATCTGGTTTTCCTTTTAGGACATGAGCATAGGTGGAGTCTTGTAGCTCATTGTTTAGAGCACTCGCCTTGCAAGTGAGACCTGGGTTCGATTCCCAGCAGAGCGAAATGTTGGGCAAGTTTCCTTACTCCACACTCCTCTGTTTATCTAGCAGTAAGTAGGAACCTGGTTGTGGATCACTTTTCTGGGGGTAATAGTTCCTTATAAAAAATAATGAATTGGTCACTTTAATCCACAACTGTTTGTGGGCCACTGCTGTGCCCACGTGGCTGCCACATTTTGCCCACAAAATATAGTCAATTCATTTTACAGTATATTCTGTGAAGCTCTTTGAGACATCTCGAAAACGTGATAAAGCGCTATATCAAATGCAAGGATTATTATGCGCAGTGGCTCATTGGTTTTGTTTTCATTAGATCAATTTACATGTAAACTAAAGTGTCAACTTGTCCACATACCTTTAATGTTTGAACTAAGTTTAATAGGTTTGTCTTAACGCACACAGTAAATTCTTGTGGCTTTTTTGTTCAATGCCACTTAGAGCAAAACAGAATCATGTTCACGTTATAACAGTTTTAATACTTGAAACTGAAACAGTCACAAGATGTCCAGAACAATATCTAGTTTGTGTGTATTTTCAGAAGAAAATAGATTTCAGTCTTTGCACATTGGAAAGTTGAAGTCATTTATATTACGATTTCATTGTGGGTGGGTACATTCTATTGATGGTTGTAAATATGTGGATTATTGTGTAAAATTATTGATCATCAGTCACACAGTGGCTGGGGTGAGTGTTGAGGTTTATTTGGACCTGACCATTAGAGCTACCAATCACCCAGCTAGGGCTGACCCAATTAATAAAAAAAACTTGCACTTGATATAGCGCCATATGTTGTTGAAGTGTAGATTGTATATTGCAGGCAATTTAGTGGTATATTTAATATTTATTACATTGACTGGACCCCCAGTTGTACCAGAGTGGAAATCTCTGTCCTTATCCTGACTCCCGCCACCATAAAGTCGGTTCCTTCATGGTTAGAACCTCAGGTTTTGCCTTCTTTATATAAAAAAAAGTAGAATTTTACAGCATAATAAGGCTTCTCTGTCCTTTGTGCCAACTCACTACTGGCCTGAGTATTTAGGACAACCTGTAAAATATATAGTTTCTTGAAGGTTTATGAATTTGGTTTCTATCTGTTTTCAGGGCAGCATTCCATGTCCTACTAACTAAATAATACCACTTGCTCCTTTTTGAAAAAACATTGTTTTTGTCAAAAACTAAGCCAGATTTAAACTTAGTTTTTACTGGGAATAAAGTCTCAACACAAAACTGAAAATATCACTTGGAATACAGGGCGGCTTCTTACGTTTCACATTAAGAGAAGACCAAGCTTCCCAAAAGTTCAAGGCAGAAAGAGGGACCTTTCCTGACCTGGCTAAATAGCACCAGCCAGGTCTCCTTTAAGTAAGGTAATGCATGTAGCCATTGCTTTTCATCAAGTACAGAAACCCACAGCGATGAAGACTTGGATTGCTACTTTTTTTATTAAAAAAGACATGAATGAAGGTAGGTAATTTTCACTCATTGTCTTCACTGTTGTGCTTAAAACAATATGTTTCTTACATAACGACTTTTGTTGCGCAGTGGCCGAAATATTTATGGTTTTGTAGGCAAAGATCTGACCCTGTGTCTCTCTCATAGCCTGTCATTATCCTGAATTACATAAACTCAGAATCAGAGTCCCTGCCCTTCTGCAACACTTGACAGCATACAACCCATCAGAATTAAATAAGAGCCCAATAAATAGATTTTCTGACCTTTGTTGGCAGAGCAGTGTGCTCCACAAATGTGGGCTCTAAAGGATATGGCTTTGCCTTTGGTTACTTTCTGTTGCCTTAAATTAAAAAAAATCCTTTTGTACTGAAAGAGGGAGTAATGGTTAGTCACCACATGATGCTTACAAGATCTGTGTTTCTGCCCTCCACCTCGTACAGAGTTCTCTGAATGACCTGCAAGTGGCCAGGCTATTAAACAAGGAACAGATTCTCAGCACTTCTTAGAATATTGGGAATAGTTAAACTCCTACTGTAATTAGTCTCTTATACAGACAGCAATTAAATTACAAAGGGCTCAGGTCTAAAATCAGGTTCCAAAAATGTTTGGAATAGCTTATAAATTCCCCCAAGAGGCCAAAGGTGATAGGGCATCTCGTCTGAAACTGCTAAACACTTCTTAAAAAGTTATCTGAAATGTGGGAAAGAGACATTTCATACCTAGAAGTAAAGTTAATGTAGCAGAGATTTAATGAGTTTTAATTCTGAAACTGATTTATTAATGTACTATTGGTGACATTTTTATTAGTGCATTGAAATATCAAATAAAATACAGACTATGAACAATATGATGGCTCTAGACAAGTTAATACATGTGAAAATGTAAAATGAAGTAAAATGTAGATGCAAATGAACAATTCACACAATATGTACATCATTCTTGCTCAATTTACACATTCCAGAAATGAGGGGAACATATGCTGGTATTAGGAAAGCATGGTGCATTGACGTTGCCTCAAGACACGGACGGTGAAATATAACCAGTTTATAGAACATACTGAAAAGCGATACCGCCTAGGCCTGTTAGTGAGTTAGCAGTAATAGCAAATGCAAATTGTACATTTCCTGAAGATTCTTACAAAAAATTAATATGCATTTTCCAATATGCTTGCATGCATCTGACTTAACTACGCTCTTGCGTACCATGGCAACTACAGTGGGAAAGGGAGTTAGTGTCATGTTAATGTCAGTTATATGTGTGCCCTTTAAATCCATAGAATTTGGCACTCAATTTACAGGATTAGGTCAAACTCAGAACTATTGTACCACTAGAAAGTGGATTTAATTATTTGTTTTAGTAAATCTACACATTAGGTTGAAAGTTAACATATGGGTTTGAAAGGGAGCAATCTGCCTCAAACATGAAAAAACAGCATCACCATATTTTGGCAGAGTATCAAACATCAAAAAACATTTATAACAAACCAGTTATACCCTAAAACTAACTGCCACAGATTTGGTTCAGCATTTAAATAAAATCCACAAAATGAAAGAAATCTTGTGCATATGAAAACACTGGAAATGTGAACAACCAATGTTTAAACAATGCTGGGATCGTCTGCTAACAGCTCTGAGCTCAGCAGAGTTGAAAACTACAGAAAGTCTCCACGGTCACTTCCCAAGATTTTAAATGGGGGGGGGGGGGAAATCAAGTTCAGTTTTTTGTTTTATAAAAATTGGCCCCAGATACCAATGTGAGACTATACCTTACAGACTAGGAAGGCACAGTCACAGTTAACAACATTCCTCCCGACGGGGGAATGGAGCCAAAAGAAAAGCTGGATGACCAGCAAACAACAAGCACGAGCATCACCTTAAGAAAAGACAATTGGGATGGAAAATATTCCAGGCTTAAAATAAAAAGGCAAAAATTATTTTAAGCATTCAATGGATAAAGCCTGCACAAGAGTTGTTCCCACATTATTCATATTGGGTGAAAAGCCTGTAACTGCACACAGGACTAAATGAATGTTTGAAAAACATCCACCTGTTCATCACATGCGAAGAGAAATACACATCTAAAAAGCAATTCTGAACAGCCTTTTACAAAGATCAACATGTGGAACTTACACTCTGGTCTGCAGCTGAATCTGGTAGTTTTGGAACTGCAGATAATTCTACGAAACTGGGTCCAGTAACTGAGCATCCTGTCATTTTCTTTAATAGTGCAATGATGTTAAATTGGAGGAGGAAAAGCAATCTATAATAAGAATTCATCTTGCAGTTAACTTAGTGTTGTACAATTCAATCTGCAATTTATCCAAACTTTTACCAGGTTTGAAATGCAGCACTGGCTGCCTTAACCTTATGCTTTAGGATTGTGTGCCCAGCCACCAAACAGTTCAAAGTCAAAGGAAGTCTAACTTCAGAATTCTTACCTTAAACATCCAAACAATCTCACAAAGTTTAAACAGGTTTTTTTTTAAATATATATAACATTTGAAGAGTGGATGACTTACTTGTGAACACTGAAATGAAGTGTTTTCTGTACATTTTGTCTTTCTATTAAAAGTAGATCTTTTTCCCCAAAGCTACCATCATTTCAGAATCATGAGCAGAGTTAGAAAATTGGAGAAAACAAGCTTTCTGTACATCACCCTTCACTGGAGTCCTGGTATATTCCCTCCAGTTTTCACTGGAAATAATTACGCTCAATGACGTAACACTTCTGTCCTCTTGCAAGTAGCGTGTTACAGCACAGCAATACGCAGATTGAATTGTAAATTGTTTATTTGCTGATCATATCTTGTCATCTGTCATTTCCAGAAACTGAGCATAAACATCCCGAGTGCATTCACCTTTGGGGTTGAATAAAAATCTGTAGTAGCTGCCATCAGCACAGATTGCTGTAACGAGAGGGGTCAATATAGGTTTTAATCTAACTTTAAACACTGGCCCATTTATATTCTGTAAATCTATTCAAAAATATATTTTTCATGAGATTCAGCAGTGACCAGTTAGTGATTTATGTAGCCTGGAGCAGATAATGTCCCACATTTTTCATCCCATTATACCTGTTCATAAAGTATTAGCTCAATTTCACATTGTTTAGTATTTTGCATTACTAGCAGCTCTTTCTAAAATTCAAATGCCAACTTCTTACAGTACTTCACTTTTCTACAACCATCAAGATTTCTCATCACAATATTACATTTAAAAAAAAGTTGGGAGTGAGAAGAACAGAACCTACCGATGACCGAGTTTGGCTCAGTGCCAAAGGCACAGATGCAAGGGGAGCCGAAGGGAACCTGAAACTTGGAAAAGCTCCATTTGGAGCTGAAGTATTTGGGAAGGAAGCTCGCTGAGGCCAAACTGCAATTAGAAGAACAGAGGTTATGGTTGAACCCCACACAGAGTCAACAAGCTTTCAAAATGCTCCAACTACAAAGCTAATTCATTAGAAGCTGTTAGGATTGCAGGAGGCCAGGATTCTGATCATTTCCCAGTTACTCCTGCCGGAAAGGATCAAGCACTGTCCTCCTTTACTCAGTGATTGCTCAAACTCACTCCTCGACGGTCTCCCCAGCTCCACTATTCAAGAGATCCAGCTCATTTGGTACGCTGCCGTCAGCATACTGACCCGGACCAATTCCGTACCCACACCTCACCAGTTCTGGCCAAGGCTCCACTGGCTCACCATCACCAAATGGATTGACTTCAAGATCCTCATACAGGTTCAAATCCTTTCAGTCTTTGGCACCTCCCGCCCTCTCCGACTTCCTCACTCCCCAATCCACCACCCCAAGGAGCAATCTCCCTCAATCCCTCCGCCTTGCCCCTTCTCTCCCCTTTTTCAAATCCCATCTGAAAACCTTCCTCTTCGACCATACTTACAGCCACCTACTCCCCCAGCTTGGAGTCAGGCTGTGTTACTGTTAAGCGCTCCGAGACACTACCCTGCATTGAGGGCGCGATATAAGTGCAAGTTGTTGAGCACAGCTTTGATGCTCACGCTCACTCACACGTTAAACATGGCCACTTGGATGAGGAACAGGAGGGACCTGTGGAATTGTAGTCTAGCATCTTCTGGTGAGGTGGGAAGACAATCGGTAGAACACACATTTTAATAATAATCCTTGCCTTTGATATAGTGCTTTTCACGTCTTCTAGACGTCTCAAAGCGCTTCACAGAATATACTGTAAAGTGAATTGACTGTATATTTGTGGGCAAAATGCAGCAGCCAATTGTGCATAGCAGCTTCCCACAAACAGTCGTGGATTGAGTGACCAAATTGTTATTTTATTTATTTCCATGAGGGATTATTATCAGGCGTGTGTGGTAAGGAAACCTGCCCAAGGTTTCGTCCTGTCAGGAATCGAACCTAGGTCTCGCTTGTGAGACGAGTGCACTAACCACTGAGCTTCAGGATTCTAAGTCAAATTTTGATTGATTCGATAACAATTTTTAAGAAAGAAGTAGATAATTATTTGGGGAGGACAAGTTTGCAGAGCTATGGTTAGAGAGCGGGGGAGTGGGATTGATTTGGAAGCTCTTTTCAAAGCGCCGGCACAGACACGATGGGCCGAATGGCCTCTTTCTGTGCTGTATGATTTTATGATACGTTGGGAGGGGTTTGTGTTTGAAAGTGAACACCCAACCATAGGTGTAAATGCCGGCTCTTTGAAAAGAGCTACCCAAATCAATCCTTCTCCCCCGCTTTCTACCCATAGCTCTGCAAACTCTCTTAAAAGTTGTTATCAAATTGATCATAATTTGACAAGCTCTATGTCCCACTTACCTGGATTGCTTGTTCCTTTTGGGGTCCTCAGCGGCAAATATGTGCACAGTCCCATGATCACTTGACACACAGATTAAGGAAGCATCTTGATTAAAGTTTATGCTGAACAAAAGTAAATTGAAGAGAGCAGTTAATGAAAGAATCGTGACAGAAGAGAAATCACAGCAAATGGTACAAGAGCAACACATTCTCACCAGTAAATATTTGCTGCTTGTGATCCTCTTCGTAACTCCTGGATGAGCTGCCCTGAGGTAGTATCAAAGATACGTATCAAAGTTCCCTGCAGAAGATGTTAGGGCACACAATTATGAACAGCTTTGTTAAGGTAACCACCATTTCCATTGATCAGCAGATGGAGGGAATAAATTGAAGGGCATCACCAAAGAAAAAACAAATCTTAACAGGAGTAAGCTGTTCTGGCGGGGGCAATGGGCAGCAACAAGGTCAAACAAACTATTTTTAAAAACCAAAAAACTCAAACGCATTAACTTTCATCTATTAATTTACAGCTTTAAACAGCAATTACACTTCACAGTAAATCCTGTGAAAGGCTTTATATGAAATATAAAGAACATTATATTTTGTAAAGCACATCTTGATTTTTTTTAAATGTGAAAAACAAATAAAAATTATTATAAAATTATGAAAGTCAAGTATTTACAGTATAAATCATCTCAGATTCAAGGCTAAAAAGAGAATCTGCTACTGAAGTAAAATACAGTCCTTCACACATTCACTCAGCTTACCTTTTCTGAAGCAGTTGCAATACGTGTTCCCTGGAGGTTTAAAGCGATGCAGCTCAAAGATCCCTCGTGGGCAGGGATATCAACTGGAGGTTTCTCAGTGCTGGCCAGGTCCACGATTTGCACACGGCCCGTGTGAGTCCCTGGAAAGGCCAACAGCGAATTGTTGCTGTTTGGACAAAGGACACACAAACCTGGAAGTGAGAAGAAACATTGTGAGCGCTGGTCGGCTCTGAACCAAACTCAAGGAATTCCTGGCACATTTGAAATTCCTAACTAACAAGTTGAAATTTACTACAAAGCCAGAAGTTCAAGGTGGATTCCTCACTACAGCAGCTGCTTGCAGTATAGGAAGGATTCCCTACAGATCCGGCAGCAATTTTTAATCCTCTAATCACACTTACCTTTGGGGTTGTAACAAGTCTCAAAGACGTGCAGCTGGTGAGGATTGTGAGTGAATGTGAAGACTTTAATCATGGAATCAAGAACCACCACAATTCTATGAGTGAAGAAAGCATAATGTTCAATATGGAAACAAAACAAGTCTGGAAACACTTCACTATGCTTAAGATTTTCCAAACCGAACTACTAAGGGTTCCATGAAAGCATGGTGTGCAGTGCACATCCTCCTCCCGAAAGGGACGTACCCCAATTTACCTTCTTCCCAGAGCCAAGGCTCGGGAATCCTGAAGTGTTCATTGAGGTACTGCAGCAGTTTAACACTAGCAAACTTTCCGCTGCTTGTCCAGCTAGGGCCACGCTACCTGTTCAAGCTTTGATTTGAAGGGTTAACAGAAGCCAAGTGGGAGAAATCCCAGTCCCAGCGACTGATCTGCTCTTCCAAGTCCTGCTAACTAGTCACACTGGCTGTTCTGTCAACACAATGTTTGCAATATTGCAGACACTGCAAAACACAACAAACAAGTCATTCAGGCAGTCAAGTCTGACCCATGACACTTGACGTAGGAACTGAACAAACAAGACTGCCACTGAGGAGCAACTCAATTATTTTGATTGTGAAAAATGTCACCTTGGAGCCAGCTCAGCCCCAAGGAATTAGCCTTCTTCCTCCCTCTCCAGGATTGTCATTTGCTGGTCATTAGACATTGACAAGCACAGTCGATCAAGAGAACTGAATTGAATGAGTTTATTGAATGATGTACTACAAGCAACAAACTCGCATTTTAGATCCTTCTCTGCTTTCAAACCCTCTAAAAAATAGATCACTTTCTCTGTACTTTTGATTAATTGCCCCTTTGTTCCCACCTCCTTGGGTTTCTCCAACCTCTCTGAATTGTTTTAAGTTATTCATCCCACATGAAAGGCAACATGAGTGCAAGTTGGTGTAAATATGGTTATGGAAGGTTTCAATATATTTGCTCTCTCCCTCCACATTACCTGTCTCTCCGTAGTTTAACAGCTTTGACCTCCGTAGAAAATTCAATTTCAATAACAGTCTTCTTCTTTAAATCATCCCAGATCATCACTGGAAAAACAATTATCAGTACATTTGCAAAATCCTCTAACACTATTCATTTAGGGAAATGGGGGGGGCATGGGGGGAGGATGAAGGCCAGACATTTTGTGTCCTTACCACAGCAAGGCATAATTTAATGATTTGCTTGGAGTTGCCATCAGCGCACAGGCAAATGACGGCATTTAAGACAATTTGAGAAGCTCATGCAGAGGATACAGGGAAAGAGCAGGGAATTGGGATCAGGGTGCATGGCTTCTTGTAAGACAGACACTATGTGGACTATGATCTTGGCCTTTTATTAAAAACAAATTGGCAACTTTTGACACCATCAACCCTCTCCTCCCCACCCCTCGACGAAAGACGCACCTTTATTGGGAGGATATTTAGGTTTTTTGCCACCTCCCACCAAGGCCAGGTAATTGCAACGGAAAAGCATTTCTACATGACCCACGCCTCCTTCCATAAACTCTGAAAAACAGAAATCAGAATCAACTGAACATCTGCTCTGTAAACAACAGTCGGCAAAAGCATCGAAAAATGTAACGCAGAAAGACAGCTTTATTATGGCCAGGCAAAGCTCCCTACCAATGTTGAGAAGCTACAACAAGGACATGAAGGATCCTACGAGGCCATTTTATGGGACTTTAAAATACTTAAAAGCACAATGAAAACGGTACAATGAAATCTCATTTCATAGACATTACAGGACATGTCAACTGGCCCATCGAGCCTTGGCTGCTGCCAGCTCATCACTTGAGCAATCTACTCCTTTCACAATATTTTTTTATATTCTTCCTTTTCAAATATTTATCCAGTTCCCTTTTAAATGTGATTGTCTGAAGCCAGGCAAAGCATTTCATGTTCTAATAATCCTCTGCATGGAAAAGGTTAATTCCAATTTCAGTGAAACTTTATAGTTTATTCCCTTTTGTTACTGATACAACCAGCAGGAATTATCTTTCATTATTTATCCTCTTAAAACCAAGAATTGTGATGACGTTTATGATTACACATCGCGGCTTATACCTTTTCAGGACTGAAGATGTCTTCTAAGTGCAATATTATATTTCTGCATAGATCGAGAGGGGGCCAAAAAAAATGTGCAAATCCCCAACACTGTTTGTGCCTTCCAAAGATGTACATTATTTTACATCTAAGTGTTTTTCTTTACCTTTACTCAAAAAACACAATAATAATTTGGTCACTTCAATCCATGACTGTTTGTGGGACACTGCTTTGAGCAAATGACTGCGGTGTTTCACCCACAAATGCAGTCAATTCACTTTACAGTATATCCTGTGAAGCGCTTTAAGATGTTATAATCTTATAACATTGTAAGATGTTAGTGTCCTAGCTGGAACTTGTTACAGAAGGGATCTTACAGCCAGTGGGGATATAAAACAACGAAAGAGGTTTCAGTGCACAAAACATGTGTGATAACACAGCCTGTTCTGTTACTGCATCCAAATCCTGGGATATTCCTGCAACAGGTCAGGATATTCACGTGTGAAGAGAACAACAGCACATATGGGACAGTGAGCGGGACAGTAAATATGCTGTGACTGGAAGAGATGAGTTTAAATGAACTATGTTTCTGATTGGAAGGATAATTTGAAATCTATTTTCAGGACTATTGAGCAAAGCTTCTATATTGCAATCAACCTCTTTTCTCGAACGTCACCCTTAATTTCTTCTGTGATCATCTTGAATGTAAATCCGTCATTACCACTGCCAGTTTCCCATTTAGCCTCACTCCCACATCTCCTCCCGACCACCCCTTTGGTACGTTTTCTTTTCAAAGTATTTTTTCTATTTCCCTTTTGAAAGCTATTAGAATCCGTTTCAACTAATGTTTTTGATGGAGCATTTCATGTCCTAAAAAACCGCTGTAAAATCCTTCTAAACTCCCTGAGAATGATTTTAAGCTTATTCTAAATGCATGTGCTCTCGATCCCTCTGTTTTCCTCCCTATCTCCACCCTCTCACCCCAACCATACCCCCAATAAGAGACCCACAGAAAACATAAATCTGCATTATTTACTGAACCACAGCAGCATTTCCACCTTCCCCTCAGAACCACCCAGGAGGAACATTTTACAACCATACTTTCTGATTGCAGCAGTTTCTGGGAGAGATTGAGATCATCTATTGGATTAACCTGTGGCAGAAACGGTGCTTAGTAAAACCTAAATCTTGGGCACTCATTTACCCACGATACAAACGAGCATCCGAGCAATTATTAAGATCGCTACGGTTTAATTTCAACTATAAATTAAACAGTAACTGCTGACCATCTGGGCATATTGAGTGAGACCATTGAATAAAAGGGAACATTTGGCACCTTTTGCTTCTCCCGCACATTGGGTAATGTTTTTATTTCATTCTTTTCCATCTCAGAGATTGCCAGGCAAAACGAGACAAGCTTTCCCTTGTCGCCTGTCATGAACTGTTACAACTTGAGACTTGAGAGAACAGGCAAAGAATTCTAGACTTAAACAAGCCTGTTCCTTTATAGCCCGACATACAGGAAAGTAACACAGTGATCACAGACTGGACAAATGGGCACAACTGTCACTAAATGAATGAACATGGAAAGTTCCTACACTTATCTTACACAAATTTACTTCAATGATCAATTACCATGATCATGGTAATTCAGATGACAAAGACAAAAATGGGAATTGACACATCTTTCATTCACTAATCCGAGACTTAATAACATAGGAGTGTTGTAGTAGTGAGAGCAGCAATCTACATCAAATCTGCATTACCTGACAGGCGATACCCCTCACCTTGTTTTTCCTTCTCTTTGAGTGGATCTGTATTGTACACGCGGAATCCATTTTCCATTCCACATGCAAAACATCCTGCAGCCAGGAGACATAAACAGGAAAGGTTACAGGCTGTGACACAATCTCTCACGTAAAACAATAATTTAAAGTGATTTTGGGACCGCTTATCCTAAAGGCGTTGAGACACTCAACATTTATGAAAAGGAAGAAATCAAAACATATCACGAAGAGGACCTTATCAAGTCAAAGAGCTCAAAGCAGTGGTTTAAAAGCAGTGAATGCTATTTAGGCTAGTGTGGCAGCTAATCTCACTACATCGACCCACACACAGCAATGAGATGTACTCCCAACTAAAGCATTTGTTGGTGAATCTACAATGGAAGTAAATTGGACAGGACACCAAGAGAACTGCCTGCTTCTCCTCCAAATAGTACCAGAGTACTGATTCACCTGAATCACCAGACAGAACTTCAATTTAACATCTCATCTGAAGGACCACACATTTGATAAAGCAGTGCCTCCCACCCCTACCGGAGTTTTAGCCTGTCTTGTGTCAATGATCCCAACATGGAAATGTGGAATACAATGTTGAAATGCTTGTGCAATGCTTAAAAAGAAAGAAAATATTAGCAGCAAATTTTTTTAAAAAAAAGTTGGTGACGGACAAAGTGCTCTTAGTTAATTCTGGGTTTGAGTAGCTTTTACATAAAGTGCTATGGCTTGGAAACAGCCCATTTATCCCAACTAGTCTGTGCTGTCTTTCTACTCCACACAGGAATGTGACAGCAACTAGATATCACATACACTATGTATCAGAACTACTAAAATTAACTAGCCATTTAGTGCCATTTAGGTACTCAGGAATCCTTTTCACTTCTATTTTTTCCATCTCAAACAATTATCAGTTTTGGCATCACAGCTTTTTAAACACATCCTGAAGTCTGTAAAAATCCTGTGCTTAAGGAAAGGAAATCGGTCTCAGTCCGTTGGTCAAGTGTTCAAAGGCTTGTGCAAAGCGGAAATTAACTCAAGATTCAAAATTTAGGCAATTGTTCCACTTTATCACCATTTGATGCAAGTAGCAGCGATATCAAATCCTGAGCCAGTTAAAAATATGCCAGCTTCCAAAACAAAAATCAGCAAGCAGTGCGGCAGGAAATACTAAGTGTCCTGTTATAGTGCAAACAAAGAGGGCTATTTGGAGGGGTGAGGGGAGTGCAGAGGACATTTTGGCAACAGCTAGAGCAGCCTAACAAACTGAAAGAACATACAAAATTAACTGACATTAGCAATAACATATTAAACCAGGTAAACTAACCCTGAAAAATAATGTATTGCTTTGGTACAGGTGAGCAGTTAAGTAGTGGTAACCACAGAGTTTCATCTGTGTGAAGCACATTTCACAATACTCGTCCATGTAGAGCCACTCTAACCACTATGGCCATCTTTTTGAGTTGAGAAAGTGTCAATACCTGAAGATTGTCAGAGAAGCCAGGGAGGCTGGTCAAACACCCGCAGTACCTTCGATTTCCATCTCCTTTTGTCCTGCTTACCCCCTGACTCCGGTCTGCTGTAACCCTTGTTCATCTCGCCATTGGTGGCCAACTTTTCAGTCACTTTTCCTCACTTCTCTGGAAATGTTCACCCTTTTCTTCTCCACTCAAAATCTCTTTTGGGCCAAATTCCGGAAACTTCCCTCTCTTTCCCTTCATACTAAGTCACCCCAAGTCTTTGTAAATGCTCTGAGATGCTCATCCTGCATGAAAGGCTCTGCAGTATACAGCACCTTGTTGCTATACTGTCAAATCATTCCCAAGTTCCTAGTGCCAATTTGCCACTTTGATGCATTGTATAACTACACACAAAATGCAGGTCACTAAATCCTCATTCCTTCTACTTTGTCCCATCTTCCTAAAGACCTTCCTGTTTAACCTATGGTCACCTCTCCTTTCTCCCAAGGTCGATGTCAAGCTCCGCCACGGTTAAACGCTCCCAAACCACTTCCCTGTGTGGAGAGCGCTGTATTAAAGCAAGTTGTTAGTTGAAGACAAGACCTGATACTCATTTAAGCCTCATTCAAGGGAAGATAGTAAGACAATTCTGAAAGGATAAAATTAAATGGGCAACTAATAATCACCAATTGTACATAAAAACACCCATCAATACAAAAAGCCGCACAACTGCAAGTATCTTAATGAGAGAGATCCCGACATTAAAAACAACAACAACAACAACAACAACAACTGGCGTTTCTATAGCTGTTTGCACTCGAGCTGAACAATGGCAGAGTTTGACACTGAGCTGCAGAGACCGAGTGGGTGATACCAACCACACTCCCCCCCCCCCCCCCGGGGCTCTCACACACTCCCCCCCCCCCCCCCGGGGCTCACACACACTCCCCCCCCCCCCCCGGGGCTCTCACACACACACACTCCTCCCCCCCCCCCCCGGGGCTCTCACACACTCCCCCCCCCCGGGGCTCACACACACACACACTCCCCCCCCCGGGGCTCACACACACACACTCCCCCCCCCCCCCGGGCCCCGGGCCTTTCCCTGCAGGAGCCGCTCTGGTGCTCGGGCTGACAGTCATCGTGATCCTGGTTGAAGAGGCCGCGGACAGGAGGCCGGGCCCGGGGCGGGGGGCCCGGGGCGGGGGCCCGGGGCGGGGGGCCCGGGGCGGGCGGGGGGGCCCGGGGCGGGCGGGGGGGCCCGGGGAGGGGGGTGGGGGCGCTCACCGTGGTCCTGGTTGAAGGCCGCGGACAGGAGGCCGGAGCCGCGCGCGCTGCCCGGGAGTAGGTTCATCCTCCGCTTCCGGTGGCGCCAGGACAACAAGAGGAACTCAGAGCAGCCGATCCGTCTTAAAGGCACAGGCGCTTAAAGGCGCAGCTGACAGTATCGGCCGACACTGCAGTGTTGTTACATTGTTGTTGGAGACGATCAGCCCCGACATCAGATACAATCAGCAATAACTTTCAAAAGGGAATTTGGGATTTGTGGAGTCCTGTAGCTCAGTGGTTAGAGCACTCGCTTCGCAAGTGAAAGACCTGAGTTCAATTCCAGGCAGAGGGCGAAACCTTGGGCAAGTTTCCTTACTCCACACAGAGCCTAATAATAATCCTCCAAAACAAAAACAATAATAAATTGGTCATTTTCAATCTACGACTGTTGTGGGACATTGCTGTGTGCAATTGGCTGCCGCGTTCGCCCACAAATATACAGTCAATTCACTTTACAGTGTGTTCTGTGAAGCGCTTTGGGACGTCCTCCCGACGTGAAAAGCGCCATATCAAATGCAAGGATTATTATTATTATAAACACTCTGGTTTGGGGGGTTCTCGGGGGAGGGGCCTGGGGGGGGCCTGGAGCGTGGTCCTGGGTGGGCACTGAAGGGCATTATATATAGATATATATGTAAGTATTTTTGTAATTGAAAAGGAAACATTTGCAGGGCTTTGGGGTAAACGCGGGGAGTGGGTCTAACTGGTGGCTCTCAATGAGCCAACACAGACACGATGGGCCGAATGGCCTCTCTCTGTGCTGTAAGATTCTATATTAATTTAAGATTCAGCTTTAAATGGTTCGGCCCCAAAACAGTATCTGAAAAGAGGAGGGAGTGTCCTGGACAACAACAGCAACTCACATGTATATGGTGCTCAACGGTAGCATCTCAGAGACAAGAATCACTCACATGGTCATTCACTTCATGGCTGATTGCGAGCTCTCAGTGTGCACAAGTGGCTGCCATGCTTGCCCACAAACACAGTCATTACACTTGACAACAATCACTTGAAGTATTTTAAGATGTTTTGATGTGCTAAGATGCTATGAAAATTAAGTTCTTTCTTTCATAATAATAATTAATAATAATAATCATTGCATTTGATATAGCACCTCATCAGGTTGTTGGGGCATCTCAAAGCGCTTCACAGGATATATTATAAATACTATTGACTGTTATTTTGTGGGCATAACCTAAAGACGTCAGTGTCTGTTAGCATAAGGGCATCACCAAGACCCTTCATATGAATGTCTCTATATCAAATTCCATGATTATTATTTAAATCAGACTACTCATCTTTAGAAAAATACCAGGGTAGGCTTGATGGGCCAAGTGGCAAATTTCTGCTTAGTACCATTCCATAATTCTATGAAGAACACTTGGATATCAACCCAATGCAAAACAAATCCAAAGTGAAGGGCATTGGATAAACCTTAATTTATTGTGTTGTAAATAGCTCTGAGCTGCCAAGTTGATCCAAATCTCACTCTGATGACAATTCCAGAATCCAAATTTGCCTCCAAGTATTTTTTTAAAAACTGAACAGGTTACTTTATAGCTGAGTAGTTAAGGAGGTAATCTGCTGGCTTTATGACTTATTTACTCACATACACTCAGCCATGGTGACCCATAATCTTTACTTGCTTTTCAAAACTGATAGTTACTTGTCAAGGTTTATAAGAATTGACCCAGGGTCCATGGAGCTTGGAATTACTTGGTTGAGATTGGGAGCTGAGAAACAGCAAAATCATCAAATTTAAGTTATTTGGCTTGAGTTATTAAGAGAAGGTTCAAATTAAAAATTGTTGAAAATGGTTTTGAACGATATGTAATTCCTGCATTGCTTTGCACTATTTAACTCAATGCAAAGGACATCCAAAATGAGAGCGCAGGTCCCCCCCTCCTGGATTTGGAGATAAATAACAAGGCATTACAAAGCACAAAGTAACATCATTTACACACACACCACCTGCCGGACCAAAGTGTGAAGTACACTTTATGGATTCCAATACTTTTATTTTCTTATGTGTTTAATCCCATGGCTTTATTCAATGTTACTTTGTGTTCACTCAAAATGACATTCCTCCACCTTCCTTCAGCCTAATTCCTGCACTGCCTCTACTTTAGCCTTTCTCAGTCACAATCAATATCACCACCATAGAATCATACGACATGGTAGGCCATTCGACCCATCGTGTCTGTGCTGGCTCTTTTAAAAGAGCTTCCAAATTTATCCCGCTCTCCCCATAGCCCTGATCAATCCTACCCTTCCCCCCCAAACCCCATGCAAACTTGTCCTCCCCAGTTAATTATCTTCTCTCTTAAAAGTTGTTATCGAATCGGCTTCCACCACCCTTTCAGGCAATGCAGTCCAGATCCCAACAACTCGCTCTGTGAAAAAATTCCTTCTCACCTCCCCTCTTTTAACAACTATTTAAAATCATTGCCTCGGGTTACCGACCCACCCACCAGTGGAAATAATTTTTCCCTATTCACCTTATCGAATGCCCTCATCATTTTGAAAACTTCTATTAAATCTCCTCTTAAATTTCTCTGCTCCAAGGAGGATAATCCTAGCCTCTCCTGATAACTGAAGTCCCTCATTCCTGGTACAATCCTGGTAAATTTCCTTTGCACTTGACATTTTTCCTAAAGTGTGATGCCCAGAACTGAACACGATCTCTAGCTGAGGCCTAACCAATGTTTTATATAAAGGTTCATCATAACATCCTGACTTTTGTATTCTAGGCCTCTATTTATAATGCCTTGTATCCCGTATGCTTTTTTAACAGCTTTATCTACCTGTCCTGCCATCTTCAAAGATTTATTTATATGAACTTCCAGGTCTTTCTGTTCCTTCATCCCCTTTAAGATTGTACCATCAGCTTATATTGGCGTCTTCAATCTTCCTCCCAAAATGCAACACTCCACATTAAACTTCATCTGCCACATGTCTGCCCATTATTCCACTCTGTCGGTGTCCTCATTCAGTCTGTTATTATCCTCCTCGCCGTTTACTACTTTTCCTAGTTTTGTATCATCTGCAAACTTGGAAATTGTACTCTCTATACCCAAGTCATTTATATAATGATTGATTGTGCCATATTGTAATTGCTCAACCTCGGCACATCCTTCCTACCCCACATCCAATTGATTCAAAATTTCGCCATCCATGTCCACACCCAAACTAAATTCCGCCCCCCTCCCCACCCCCCCCATCACCCTAGTAAGCTTGATTGGCTCTCTATTGCAGAACATAACTATTTCAAGCTCGTCTCACAACTACAAATCATTCCATGCCTTTATACCTCTCTACCTCTCCAAACTGCTTATACCTCACTCTTCTACCTGTCCTTTTCACTTGGCTGGCTCAGGCCTTCTGCAGGTCCCTCCACTTCACCATTAGCAGCTATGCTTTCAGCCACTACCATCCAAACTTATGTAACTCGCTACCTCAATCACTCCACCTTGCCCCTTTTTACCCATTTTCAGATCACACCTGAAGACTTTGTGCTCCAAGATGCTAGCCTGCGTGAAGGGCGCTATATAAGTGTAATTTGTTGTTATATAAATCCAAGTTGTTGCTCAACATCATTCACAAGTATGGGTAGGAGAAGTCATTGTGCTCCAGTCCTGCGTAATACTGAACATGGTCACAAACAGAGGTGTTCAATTAAGCAAGGCTATCTGAAGTTAACTGCAAACTCGAATGTTGCATTGAGTACACGGACTGCTGAACTAACCCAGCCTCCAATATTTCTACATTTCTGCAAAGGGCATGTGTTTAAAGAAGAGAACGCCTGTATCAGAAGCAGCTAGCTCACTTGAGAAACTGATAATGCAATAGTTTTATCCTGAAACAATATGCAAAATAACATTAAAGAGCATTTGTACACAATTTTTTTAAAAATAGTTTAATTACAAAAGAGTTGAATAATTCAGGACATCTTTGCCCCTACACGATTGACACCAAGGACTTCTTTGGCATTTCCACTCCATTAGTATTGAAAATTGTCCCGGGATCCAAAATTATAAAGCGCTCTGAGATGCCGGCAGGCATGGAGGGCGCTATATAAATCCGAGCTGTTGTAGTGTAGTCCTACAGAGAAACTTATATTTTACAAATCACTAAAGTAACAATAATCCACAACAGTATCATTCACCAAAACTGTCGAAAAGATTTAATTCCCACAAACAGCTGAATAGCATTTCTGTGATATTCACACACAGACGCACAGCTTACTTTGCTTGTCAAGACAAATCGTTTTCCTAGAATTAGATCCTTCAAACCATTAGACGGATGCGTTTCTTGAGCGTAAAGATTTGAGATGTTTAAACAATGTAAAGTTAGGTGCATTGCATTAAAAAATAACCCAATTCCCAGCATCACTTCACATACCTAGTTAAAAATCATACCCAGTTCTGAAATCCTTCAATCCACATACAGTCCACAGTCACATGATACAAGTCAATAGTCCAGCTCACACAAAAACAGACTGAAACACCTTCGTCTTTTTAAAAACATCAGCATGAGCGGTTGAAAATCTCTCCTTCACACGACAACACTCACAACAAACAATCAGGGATTCTGGTAACAACAATGTCATTTGCAATCAACGTGTAACGAGCAGCAGCATTAGTCATTCCCTTGTGTGCAAACATTCAATTGGAATCCACAGGCCTCTTCAGAGTTTCTGATTCTGTAGCACAGCTTATCAGGCTGTGTATGTAGTGGTTTACATTTCAGCTTCTCCACGTGAGGCTGTGGCTAAGAGATTTTGCAGCTGTTCCGAGGGCAGGTCTGTGAAGGACTTTGGGAAGGGCAGATGATCTTGGATTTCTTCAGGCTACTCCGTTTGTTGCTGTTGGCAGTGACAGAGTAGGAGCGTCCGTGCATCATTCTGGCATTCAGTCCATTGGCCATGGAGAAAGATTTGAGGTGACTCTTTTAAGGCAACAGAAAGAGGCAGTTTGTCGACGAGATGCACAGGAAACAATGGCTCGACAGCAGAGGTCCTGAAGGCTTAGTATTGCAAAGAAAAATAGTGAATCAGTTATAAAAACAAATTAGCTTTATCAAGAAGAAATTAAATAGGCGATCAGAACAAACTGCACATACAGCATTACAATACAGATTTACATTTAAATTGCGCCTTTCACATTGGAAAGATGTCCTAAGCCACATTATAAACACTAAATGTATTTATCTACAAAAAGTAGTCACTACATTTGATGGTAACTGCCCAAAACACTGATATGATAATGTTCCTATAAATAGGCAAGTTTTTCTGGCACTAATTTATTGAAAACAAAATTAGGCCATAATTTCTGATTGTGAGAAGCACTACCACTGATGTAATGTTCAGAGATGTTCAAAATAGAGGTAGAAATTTACTGGGGGTTAGTATCTGTATTAAAGTGAGAGAGTGAATCAATGGGATTAAAAGATCACTCCAGATCCTAATAAACTGGTGGAACATCTCGATAGGATGAACCCCAAACCGAACCCCAACCCGAACCGTCGCCAATTCTCCTGACAAAGACTTTGTGTCGCGACCGACAACCAAAGCCTCTGAGACACTGCGATGTGGAGACTTTCCAACATGTTCCCGGTCTCTCTCCGCGGGTTTGTTGCCCAGTGTCCCCGCCCCAGTTCTACCCGATGATTGGGCAGATTAGCCGTCAATCAATTACTTAAAGCCCCTCCTCCCCACCGAGCATCGTGATGTCACTGGATTGTTCACATCCCGCCCGCGCTCCCTACAGCGCATGCTCACCTTCTCTATGTGCATTGTGGGAGATGTAGTTCTGTTTCAAGTCTCAGACGCACAACACCGCGCGGGAGGACTCCGGCTCCCGGCACACACCGCGGCTGTTCCAGGTCATTCCAACATTAAAATAAACGCTCTCAGAGATGGACTTTTTATCTGTTTTAAAAAAAAGCCTTTAGTCGCCTCTGAGCAAAGTTAAACATCAAACACCGCGCGAGATGAGTCTTCATTGGGGGCTGTGAACTGAAAATAATTGTAGTGTCTAATTGTGTGTTCGTGTCGGCGGTGACGTGACGTGAGGCCCGAGGTCGCTGTGGCGGGAATGGAGGCGGCGCTGAAGCGGGAACTGGACACCACATCGCTGCGGCCGTTCGGTCACGGAGGAGGCGGCGGCATCAGTGAAGGGCAAAGCTTCCAAACTGACGCGGGGACCGTGTTTGTCAAAATCAACCACAAAAGTCAAGTTAATGAGTTTCTTCTCAAGGGTTGTAATCCCGCGCCCCCACACACCCACACACACCCACACACCCCCACACACATCCCCCCCCCACCCCCCCACACCCCCACACACACACCCCCCCCCCCACCCCCCACACCCCACCCCCACCCCCCACACCCCCACACACACCACCCCCACACCCCCCACCACCCACCCCAACCCCCCCCACCACACACCCCCCACACCCACCCCCACACCCCCACACCCCCCACACCCCCCACACCCCACACCACACACCCCCCACACACCCCCCCACACACCCCCACACCCCCACACACCTCCCCCCACACCCCTCCCCACCCACACACACACCCACACACACCTCCCCACACCCCCCCCACACCACACCCCCCACACCTCCCCCACACACCTCTCCCCTCCCCACACACCTCTCCCCCCACACACACCCCTCCCCCCCCCCAACACACCCCTCCCCCCCCCACACACACCCCTCCCCCCCCCCACACACACACCCCTCCCCCCCCCCCACACACACCCTCCCCCACCCCCCACTACATACCCCTCAAACCCCTACCCTCCTACACACCGCCTCCATCATCCCACCCCATCCACTTATATCTCCCCGATCATCTCAACCCCCACACCTCCCACTCCAATCAATCCCCAAATCCCAGACATAACCCCGCCAGTCAAATCAGAACCATCCCCACAAATCACTTACAGCCCCACCCTCGCACTCCCCCCAACAACAAAACCTCCATTAACCCCCACACACACATTCCCCACATCTGACAGCACTCACCCACTCCCATCACAACACTGACTCATTCGACAAACTATCACCCCTCCACATAAACACGAATATAATCCAATACAACTGCTAACTCCCCCACATCTCAAACCATCACCTACACACCAATACAGCCTCGCAGATTTCCTGGACCTTTAAGACAAATCTGAACAACCTCTGAAGGATAGGGAGCCAATGGAGTCGGGCGAGAGTGGGGGAGATGGGGTCATGGAGTTTGGTGCGGGACAAGACACGGGCTGCAGAGTTCTGGATTATCTGCAGCTGTGGAGGGAGCAGTTGGGAAGGCCGACAAGCAGGACGTTTGCACAGTTGAGCCTGGAGGTGATGAAGGCATGAACAAGAGTTTCAGTGGCCTGAGGGGTGACGTAGTAGAGGAGTCGGGCGATGTTATGGAAGTGAGGGAAGGCAGAGCATGTTTTGGCTTGGATTTGGGAAAGAAGAGGGGCCAGAAATGGAGCTGGGAGATGAGGAGAGAGGTTTTAAAATGTTGCAATTGCTTAGTTTCAATAGTCGCTTGCGTTAACACATTCCTAATAAACATTTCTAACCTCTTCTCCTTTTGCACTGTTGACCATCACACTCTCAATATATTTGCCAATAGGCCAGAAGAATGTTTGATGGTGAATTAGCAGGTTTAGATGCAATCTTGAAAACAAAGACAGTGAAAGTGCCAAAGCCGGTTAAAGTGATTGACCTCCCTGATGGCGGATCAACGCTAGTGATGGAGTATTTAGATATGAGCAGCATAAGCAAGTAGGTATAAAAAATCAAATGCCTCATCAAATCATTGTTTAGAAATATGATGGTAGATAAAGCCTGGTTCTGAGTTTTTTTTAATTGCTTGTTTTTTTCAGGGGTTGAACACGAATAACTCACTCTTTCCTTTCCCAGCACTTCAATCATTAGTTCCTCTAGTCCACAGCACAGAGACTGCCCTGGTCAAAGTTCTCTCTGTTGCCTTCAACACTGTTAACCACTCTGTCCTTCTCGACCGCCTGACCTCTCTGCTCCACATTCACAGTTCTCCTATCTATCCTGACTTCACTCCTACCCATTCCAGTAACTCCACTTTGTCTTTTCAAACAGTTTCTTCTCCCAGCCCTAATTTTCTTCAGTTAAAGGTAGAGAAGACAGAGGCTTTGCTGCTAGGCTCCTGTCAGGCACTGCCAGTATGAACCTGCATGATTGAGCACTCCACCTGTTGGAGCCAGTGCAGAACCTCGGAGTCCTGTTTGACTCCCGACTGCCCTTCAAATCCCATATTCGTGCTCTTACTCGCTCAGCTTTCCCTCACCTCCGTAAAATTGCAAACCTCAGCCTTATCTCTTCCCCACCCTCAAACCATTGAGACCCTCATCTGAGGCTTGACTTTGCCAATGCCCTGTTGGCCAGACTTCCCAGCTCTTCCGTACACAAGCAGCAGATTATCCACAACTCTAAAGCCTATGTCCTCTCCCGCACCTGCCTCCGGGAGCCTATCATCCCCATACCCCAGCAAATCAAGTTCAGGATCTTCATTCTCACCTTGAGATCCCTTCACCGTCTTGCCCCACCCTACCTTTGGTTCTATCCTTGTTGGAGGTCCGCCTCAAGAAATTACTCTCCCAAATGAATATTCTTCATAGCTGTATAATTTCAAATACTTTGCAAATACGTGCCACCATTCCTTCTTATTGTTTTCTTCTAGATACATGCCTGACTTGGGAGAGCAACTGGCAGATCTGCATCTGTCCAATGCAAAGCTTCGAGAAAGCCAAAACAAAGAGGCACAGACTGTTGGTAGAGTATTTAAGTTTCTGCTAATTGCAGAGCTTTCCAATAGCAAGTTGTGCAAATTATTGTGTACCTTTCAATGGTATCAGCAATTAAACACAGGAAATCTTGTTACAACGCATCTTGCTATAACATAAATTTGTTACAACATAACTGGTTAGTGAACATTTAGTTATCTGAAAATCTAAATCCAATTGCAATGTTAAGTCTCAAGTGTAATTACGATTTGAAGCACAATAACACTTCAAATCCCAATGGAGCTGTACAGCCTCAGAGCAACTGGGCAGTTTTCTGAGAGTGGCTCAGTGATCATGCAATCGGTGACATCACAACCTGGAGGCTGCTTTTGAAACAGGCTGACAAGTTTGACTTTTTTTAAGACTGCTGAAGACTAATCGAAGCTGGAGTTTGCTCAGGCATGCTGTTAGCGCATTACTGCACAAATCACGAGGTGCCAGGGAATTGTACTGTTTTAGGATGTATCTGAATTGTTCGAATGAAGATAAAATATTCAGGTATTAAAATAAATTTTTAGCAGCATCAGATGGTACGCTATATGACTTTTAAAAACAATCTCGGATATCTACAACAACAAAGCTTTTGCCAGTAAAGCTTTCGGTATAACTTTCTCTCTCTCTCTCCAACCGAGATAGGCAAAGGAGCAGGGCAGTCTGAAATCCAGTACATTGATAAGTTTGGGTTTCATGTCGTTACCTGCTGTGGTTACTTACCTCAGGTAGGCTGCTTATGCACCCATCGAGTCTGTGCCGGCTGTTTGAATAGAGCAATTAATGTCAATCCCACTCCCCGGCCCTTTCCCCATAACCCTGCAGACCCGTCCTCCTCAAATACCCGTCCACTGCATTTTTAAAAGTAGTTATTGAATCGGCCTCAACCACCCTTTCAGGCAATGCGTTACGATTCGAACAACTCGTTGTGTAAAAAAAATTCTTCTCACCTCCCCTCTGCTTTTAGATACTATTTTAAATCTGACCTCGAGTCACCGACACACCCACCAGTGGAAACAGGTTTTTCCCTTTCTAACCCATCAAATCCCCTCATGATTTTGAAGTCCTCTATTAGGTCTCCTCGTAACCTTCTCTGCTCCAATGAGAATAATCCTAACCTCTCCAGCCTTTCCTCATCATCAAGGTCCCTCATTCCTGGTACCATCCTCGTAAATATCCTCTGCACCCTTTCCAATGCCTTAACATCCTTCCTATAACCTAACTAGTGTTTTATATAGGTTAACCAGAACCTCCTGACTCTTGTACTCTATGCCCCTACTTATAAAGCCTAGTATCCCATATGCCCTTTTTACAGCTTCATCTACCTGTCCTGCCACCTTCAAGGATTCATTTACCTGAACCCCCAGGTCTCTCTGTTCTTTTACCCCCCTTAAAATTGTATTACCGCCTATATTGCCTCCCCTCATTCTTACTACCAAAATGCATTACCTCACATTTCTCCACATTGAAACTCATCTGCCATGTGTCTGCCCATTTTACCATTCTATCTATGTCTTCCTGCAGTTGGCTCCTGTCCTTCTCACTGTTTACTCCCCTATCTGACTTTGTGTCGTCCGCAAATTTGGAAATGGTGCTTGCTATATCCAAATCCAGATTATTTATGTATATTAAGAGCAGTGGTCCCAATACCGATCCCTGGAGGTACACTTCCCTCCAGTCAGAAAAGCAGCTGTTCACCACAACTCTCTGCTTTCTGTATCCTAGCCAGTTCTGGATCTATATCTACCACTCCTGTGTCCAACGAAGATTGAAAAATTGTAGCCAAAGCCTCCGCTATTTGTACCCGTGCCTCCCATAGTAACCTTGGCTGCATCCCGTCCGGACCGGGCGACTTATCTACCTTCAGTGCAGTCAACCTTTTTAGTACTTCTGTTTATACTTATCCTATCCATTTCCTGTACCCTCTCCTCCGATACTGTGGTGCATCCACTTCTTTTGTGAAGGCAGACGCAAAGTACTCATTCAGCACATCAGCCACAATAAGATTTCCCCCTTGGTCCTTAATTGGCCTCACCCTACCTTTGACTAACCTTTTTTTCTTGATATGTTTGTAATTCCCTTTAATGTTACCTGCTAACCTTTTTTTGTATAATCTTCAAATTCATTGATGCTCAGAATGAAATCTGAGGTCCAGCCACACTAAAGTGATGAGTTTTATTCCTGCAGCTGTTAGGATTTATTTTTCATTTGATCTTTCTTTTAATAGCAGAAGTTCAAAGGGAAACTGAGATCAAATATGAAGACTGAAAGCATATTCAGGGCAGAATATGTTGCTTGGAAAGCAGAAAGCACTTTAAGAAATAATAGTAATGTCCTGATTGCTTTAAAGTACTATATTTGAACGGTGATAGGCCAGGGATGGGTTAGATTTTCACAAGTTAACAAATGCGGTTTGGATGAAGAGGGGCCTTCAGCACCTTTTTCAGATCCTTTCACAATATCAACTCTGTTGTCTTCCCATTAACAATATCAAGCTTGTTTTAACAGTGTCTTGGATTCTATCACCCTTTTTAACTACTCATTCCAGTTGTTGGTTCTCTCTGTGTATCCTAAACAAAACTTCATAGTGGTTGTCCTGAACTTTCCTGCCATGGCTTTGAACCTCTGCACTCCAGTCTGCTTTTTCCCCCTTTTTCTGACTTGTTCTGGGAGTATTTTCTCTTAATCCCCAAGGTGATAGCGCTCTTATTTCTGCACATTGGAAATTTTAAAAAAAACTCATACATGAATTGAAATAAGATTGCAGCAATTGCCTAATGTTCCATTCTCTTGATGATTTTACTCTGAAAATGAATGTAATAATGATCCTTACATTTGATATAGCATCTTATGTCTTTGAGACATCACATAGCGCTTCACACAATATACTGTAAAATGAATTGACTGTATATTTTGTGGGTGAAATGTGGCAGCCAATTGCGCACAGCAGTGTCCCACAAACAGTTGTGGAATGAATTGACCAATTTATTATTTTTTTTTCTTTTATTACCCTCGGAAAAGCAATCCGCCAATTGACTACCAACCGGGTTCCTACTTACTGCTAGGTAAACAGGCATGTGGAGCAAGGAAACTTGCCCAACATTTTGCCTTGCCGGGAATCGAAACCAGGTCTTCCACTTGCAAGACGAGCGCTCTAACCACTGAGCTACAGGACTCCATCCTTGATAATACTCATGTAAACATCAAGTGTCTATTTATAAGATGCTTTTACAGCTAACTGCATCATTTGCTGACTACTTTCTATGGCTGAGTTGTTTAAAATCTTCATCTTTATTCCATCAGATAAATGACTGGCAGAGTGACTGGGTGACCTTTTTTGCTCGCCAACGGCTTGAAACCCAGTTGGACATGATTGAGAAGGAATACGGTGACCGTGAAAGCAAGGAGCTCTGGTCAAAGCTCCAGGTATACTGATTTAACATCCAAACAGCAGCATTACTAATAATGATCCTTACATTTGATATAGCGCTTTATCACGTCTTGGAGACGTCTCAAAGCGCTTCCAACAATATACTGTAAAGTGAATTGACTGTATAATTTGTAGGCGAAATGCGGCAGCCAATTGCGCACAGCCATGCCCCACAAACAATCATAGAATGAATTAAGTTAATTAGTTAGTTATTAATTTATTAATTAAGCAAGTACCTAGTAGGCTGCAAATGATCAACAGTACTGATCAGGCACTTGAAGTACTGAAGTTCAGTCAGCTGGAAAAGGGTGTGAAATTCTAATTATCAAAACTTGTAGATTGGTGATAATAGTGATTAATTAATACTCCTGAACTTCGAGTAATAGTCACTTGATGATCACCAACATGTTCTACAAATTTATTTTTCTCCAGAACAGTACCAACTACTATGTTTTTTCCTGTTCCAGAACAGTACTATCAATGCAACTTAATTTGTTCAATGCTGAAATGTGACCACTTATCTCAGAAAACTGAAGTCCAGATACTACATGAACTAATTTGTGGATAGGTAGGTGGGAAGTGCAGGACCAACTTCCACTGTTTGGAACAACATTGGTTTAGCAATGAGCAGAGAAACAAGAACTATGATGTGGAAAACCCCCTTGCGTTGCATTTATACTGTATTCCCACTTCCAAATTGGGTGGTAGGAGCAGAAAAACACAGCTCTAAATATAAGAAATAGGTTTTCAAGTTAAAAATCAATTGAAATACCTCTTTAAAATTGCACTGAAGTATGTTATGCTTGCAGTTTTGTTTTAACTTTACACAAACTACCAAAAAACACTTATTGTCATCTGAAAAAAAATACTTTTTCTGGATTGTATTTCTATACAGTTAGTTCCAAGAATATAATCAATGCTGAGAAACACGCTTCTGGAAATAAGTGAAAGTGGTTCCATATTCAAGAAAGGTGAACGATCCATTACCCTGAGATTAATGCCATGATGATACCTGGAATTTCAGTTAGGGTTCCCCGTTACCAATGTAGTTAAGAGGAAATGTGATCATACATGAGGGGGAATGGAAAGGATTAGGAGAGATGGAGGCTCATGAAGTGAAAAACACTAAACTAGTTAGGCCAAATGACTCGTGCTGTAACATTTTATGAAAAAAAAAGGTCAATAGGAAAGAAAAGCATTGCACTTAGAAACATAGAAATCTACAGCGAAGAAGAAGGCCATTTGGGCCATCGAATCAGCACCAGTTCAGAGCACTTTTGTAATACCTTTCGTGTGAATGAGCACCTCAGAGCCCTTCACCCAAACTATGCACACGTGCAAGCAGAGAGGACGTTTAAGTCTTGATCAAAGGCACGGTCAAAGAAATATGTTTTTGAGAGGATTTTGGTGGAAGGATTTAAAGATACAAGACAGGGATTTGGGGAGAGAATTCTAGAGAGGTAAAGATTCAGCCACTCATATTGCAATGAAAGAAGTGAGGAACGAGCAGCAGACCAGGGTCCATAGTGTCAAGGGCACCGGTAGCAAAATAGTACTTCAGGAGATCGCAAAGATAGGAATTGATGGATTTTTTTTATTTTCAAGTTGAAGATCCCAGGTTTGTTTGGTGGCATGGAGATTACACCAGCTTTGCTCCACGGAGACCTATGGGGAGGAAATGTTGCACAGTTGCATGATGGGCCTGTCATTTTTGATCCGGCTGCATTTTATGGTCATTCGGAATACGAACTTGGAATAGCTGGAATGTTTGGAGGATTCGACAGTTCCTTCTATACCGCGTACCATAGAAAACTTCCCAAGGCTCCAGGATTTGAAAAAAGGCTTAAACTTTATCAGCTCTTCCATTACCTGAATCATTGGAACCACTTTGGGACGGGATACAAAGGATCATCAATAAGCATCATGAAAGCTCTGGTCAAGTAATTGAACAAATACAAATCCCTGCTGGTTAAAAAAATACTAATCCATAGAAATAGTCACAGACTGATAACAAATACTTTATTTAATGTGTGCTTGATTCAAACGACTTAACTTATTGTCTTTTTTTAAAGAAACACTAGAGTGAGATTATAACATTTTTAAATTAAAAATCAGTAGTCTTTAATGTGAATGAAGAAATCCAAATTTAATAGTAATAATTTGTTTCTGGTTATGTTGAGAGATTTCATTGCTTTGCATCACGGCTGTGGCACTCTGATACTTTGAACACAACAACATCTACAACAATAACTTACATTTGTTAGCGCCTGTCTACGATAATAGTGTGGCTGCAAAGCAAATAAAGTTTCTGGACCAATGTTGCAAATGTGCGTGTTTGAAATAGTCCTTTCTTCAGAACTCAACTGCATCCTTTTATAAAATCGTTCACGATAGCTTGTCTGTAAAAAAAACTGTAAAAAAACATTAGTTCACACTGCAGTAAAACTCACTTATCGTATCACTTAGGATCTTAATATGATTTACACGAAGTATGAGTTTACAGGTAAATTCGTGTTTGTTGATGGGTCAGGACTTCATTTCCCATGATTCAATGCAAGCTGGTAAGTGTAGTTACTGGTTTACAAATTTGAAGATTATTTGCTTTACAAAATATAATTAGTGCAAACAAATCTTAGTGTTTTTGGTAGGAAATTGAATGGAACATGGGTGCATGTATGACTTAAGCAAGTTTTACTGTATTTTTGATATTCTATTAGCTGAGTGTAAAAATTGTGCCAAACACTCTATGAAAATATTTTATACATAGATAATCCGAGCGCTCAATACATGTAGCAATCAAACCACAAATTGTGGGAAAATATTGGTTTTAATGGTGTGTTAATTATTTGTGGAGCAGAACTTATTTCCAAGATTAAAAAAAACTTTTTATAGAGATATATTGATTTTATCAGCTACAAAAAGTGTTTCTATGAGGGATGACGGTGATGAGGTTTAATTATTCACGAGTGGTTGAATTATGCAGTGAAGAGAACATTTAAGTAGAATTATTTGTATACTTAGAACTGGGTGGGATTTGTTATATTTGAAGATGCCTTTTTACCGGTTCAGCTAAACAACTTATTGGCAGCCAGTGTAGTTACTATCGATCATCAATTCACATTTCCAATCCTTGTGATTTGCATATTTGGTTAAACGTTCATCAGTTTGATTCACGTGATGTTTCAATGCAGATCCCAGGATTCGAGAAGAGTTAATTCAGAATTGCCAACAGAATTTTTTCCCCCGGGCAGGATATGATGCCTGCTGCTCGAAACACTCCCCTTTGAAAACCTCAGAGTTGCACAAACAAAGCCATTAATCTGATGAGTCAGATGTCAGGTTTTCTTGCTGAATAACAACCAACAGTACAATAGCTGTGTTTGTTTGTGGAAAACATTGCATTTCCTGGTGGAGGCCACCTCTGCCTTTTGACCCAGTTAGTTATTTGACAGCAACCTTACAAGCACATCTGTCTGTGATCTATTTCCTTTAGTTCGACCGCTTTCATATTCAAGTCCCTTCACTCTTTGGCACCTCCCTACCCCTCCGACCTCCCCAATCCACCGCCTGGCACTCAACTTGCAACCGGCCTCCTGCTCGTCCCTCGCATCATCGGAGGTCGCACTTTCAGTCACTATGCCCTGAAACTCTGGAACATTCTCTCTCATTCCCTCCGCCTTGCCCTGTCTCACCGCTTTTTCAAGTCCCGCCTGAAAACCTTACTCTTCGACCTTATGGCCACCTCCCCCGCCCGGCTCGGAGTCAAACGGTGGCCATGGTGAACCTGCCCTGGGATCCAGCGCCACACCCCAAGAGCTGGTGGCTTCCGTTGGTGCAGGTGGCTGTTCCTGAGATGCGGGAGGTTGTTTAGGTCCATGTTGACAGGCACATTGGAACAGACTCCCAATGTGTCTGGCCGGACTGGGGGTGGTCTTACTGGTGGGAACAGGGGTGATGTTAGTGGGGATGGTGTTATTGCGGAGGGTTTCGCTGTTCTAACATGTTCCTCAATGTGCCGTCTTGTTTGATCCACCGTTGTTATTTTAATTTTCTGTTTTAAATTTGTCCTTGCCCAGGAAATAGCCATTGTTTCAAAGGTAAATCAAATTAAAAAGAAAGTTATTCCATTTCTATATCTCCACTTATTTAACTCTGGCCTTTCTTGCTCTACATAGCAACACCCCATACTTTCCCTCACTGCCCATGTCCTTTCATGGATTTAACAAAAGCAATTCAAACCGGTGCAACATCATCTTTCATTCCTGTAGCTCAGTGGTTAGAGCACTCGCTTTGCAAGTGAGAGACCTGAGTTCGATTCCCATTAGGATGAAACCTTGCAAATTTTCGTTACTCCACACACTTGATGATAATCCCTCAAGAAAAAAAAACAATAAATTGGTCATTTCAATCCACGACTGTTTGTGGGATACTTCTGTGCGCAATTGGCTACTGCGTTTCACCCACAAAATATGCACTCTTTCTATAAGAATCTTTCGCCTCTCTATTACAACCTTTTCCATCTCTCACACTTTCTATCAGAATTTTCTCCTCTCTATCACACTTTTTCTGTTACAATCTTTCTCTCTATCACACTTTCTCTCTATTGCAATCTCTGCTCTCTCACACTTTCTGTCTCGCAATATTTCTCATCTCACAATTCCTCTCTATCGCAATATTTCTCTCGCAAACTTTCTTCTCTCTATGACACTTTGTCTCTATCACACTTTCTCACTATTGCAATATTTCTCCTCTATATCGCACTTTCTTTCTTGTGCAAACTTTCTCCTTTTCTCTATCACAATCTTTCTCCTCTCTACAACACTTTCACTCTCTAATGGAATCTTTCTCCTCTCCATCATACTTTGTCTCTCTCTATTACAACCTTTTCGTCTCTGTCGCACTTTCTGTCTCAAAATATTTCTCCTTCTCACCATCGCACCTTCTCACCATCGCAATGTTTCTCCTTTCTAACACATTTTTTCTTTCTATTACAAGCTTTTCCCTCTCTGTCACACTTTCTATCAGAATCTTTCTCCTTACCACACACTCTCTATTGTAATATTTCCTCTCTGTCACACTTTCTCTCTCTGCATTCCAATCTTTCTCCTTTCTAACACACTTTCTCTGCCTATCACACTTTGTCTCTATTGCAATTTTTCTCCTCTCAATCACACTTTCTCTCTTCTGCAATCTTTCTCATTTTCTCTATCACAATCTTTCTCCTCTCTATCACACTTTCACTCTCTAATGCAATCTTTCTCCTCTCCATCATACTTTGTCTCACTCTATTACAAACGTTGTCCTCTCTCCTATCAGAATCTTTCTCCTCTCTATTACACTTATTCTCTATTGTAATCTTTCTCCTCTCTAACATACTTTGTCTCTCTCTATTACAAATGTTGTAATATTTATTACAAACTTTTCCCTCTATCAATCTTTCTATCAGAATCTTTCTCCTCTATTACACTTTCTCTCTATTGCAATCTTTCTCCTTCTCTCCATCACACTCTGCATATTGCAATGTTTCTCCTTCTCTCTCACACTTTCTCTCTCTATTCCAATCTTTCTCACACACTTTCTCTCTATTGCAATCTTTCTTCTCTCTATTCCAATCCTTCTAACACACTCTCTCTCTCTATCGCTCTGAACTGTCGCCCAATTTTCCTCCTCTCTCTCATTTCTTCTTAATCACAATTTTTTTGCTTCTCTCTATTATACATTCTCTCTCTCTATCACAATCTTTCCCCTTCTTTCTAATACTTTCTCTCTCTATCAGAATCGTTCTCTTTCTCTCTCACACTTTCTCTCTCTGTTACAACCTTTTCCGTCTATGTCACACTTTCTCTGTCAGAATATTTCTCCTCTGTCAAACTTTCTCTCTGTCGCACTTTCTCTGTTACAAACTTTTCCCTCTCTATCACTCTTTCTATCAGAATGTTTCTCCTTCTCTCAATCACACTTTCTCTCTATTGCAATATTTCTCCTCTCCATCACACTCTCTGTATATTGCAATGTTTCTCCTTCTCTCTCACTTTCTCTCTCTCTATTCCAATCTTTCTCACACACTTTGGCTCTATCACATTCTTTCTTCTCTCTATCACACTTTCTCTCCATCACAATCTTTCTTCTCTTTTTCACACTTTCCCACTCTATTCCAAACTTTCTCTTCTCTGTCACACTTTCTCTCTATTTTAATATCTCTCCTCTCTATCTCTCTTTCTATCAGAATCTTTCTCCTCTCTATTACAGTTTGTCTCTATTGCAATCTTTCTCCTCTCAATCACACTTTCTCTCTATTGCAATCTTTCTCCTCTCAATCACACTTTCTCTCTATTGCAATCTTTCTCCTTCTCTCAATCACACTTTCTCTCTATTCCAGTCCTTCTAACACTCTCTCTATCGCTCTCCTGTCGCCCAATTTTCTTCCTCTCTCACATTTCTTCTTTATCGCAATTTTTCTGCTTCTCTCTCTTATACGTTCTCTCTCTCTATCAGAATCGTTCTCAATCACACTTTCACTGATTAATGCAATCTTTCTCCTCTCCATCATACTTTGTATCTCTCTATTACAAATGTTGTCCTCTCTCTCACTCCTATCAGAATCTTTCACCTTCTCTCTATTACAACCCTTTCTGTCTCTGTCGCACTTTCTGTGTATCACAATATTTCTCCTTCTCGCCATTGCAGTGTTTCTCCTTCTTTCTAACACACTTTCTCTCTATCACACTTGCTCTCTATTACAAGCTTTTCCCTCTCTATCACACTATCAGAATTTTTCTCCTTACCGCACGCTCTCTCTACTGCAATCTTTCTCCTCTCTATCAAACTTTCTCTCTATCGCAATCTTTCTCCTTCTCTTTAACACTTTCTCTACATTCCAATCTTTCTCCTTCTTTCTAACGCTTTCTCTCTCTCTCACACTTTCTCACTCTATCGTACTTTACCTCTGTGTATTACAATCTTTCTCTGCTTTATCACACTTTCTCTCTGTCGCAATCTTTCTCACTATTGCAATCTTTCTCCTTCTCTCCATCACACTCTCTCTCTATTGCAATCAATGAGATAGGACGAGAAGGTGAGCTGTTTAACGTTTGCAGTGCCTTGCCAGGCCATGATCCTTCTTGCTTTGCATGTATTCAAACCCCTAATTTTGCTTTTGACTTCTGCATGAAAACAAGAATATGAGTATTTTTGGGGGGTAAAGTTTACCCCTGAAGGGTTGCAAGTCTTTAAACTAGTGATGTTTATTGGTTGTAGAGTCCTGTAGCTCAGTGGTTGAGCACTCGCTTTGCAAGCGAGAGACCTGAGTTCAATTCCAGGCAGAGG